GTGTGTGTGTGTGTGTGTGTGTGTGTGTGTGTGTGTGTGTAGGTCTTTTGGAGTCGTACTTTGGGAGATCAGCACTCTAGCAGAGCAGCCTTACCAGGGTTTGTCCAATGAGCAGGTCCTGAAGTTTGTCATGGATGGAGGATACCTGGACCGACCAGACAATTGTCCTGAGAGAATGTAAATACAGATTGGATTGAATTTTTTTTTTTTTACTTATTTATTTTACCTCGTAAGGCAAATCACCTTGAGAGAAAGCCTCAGGCTCACAATCTGTGTTGACTTAACCTGAGTATTTCTTGTCCTCTGTGCTGGGCACAGTTAACCCAAAAAGTTAACTCCACTAATCCAAAGAATCTTAGCTCCTCTAACACTAAACCACTAAAAAAATGAGTGGAAGCTAACACTAACCGCTGGGAAAACCGTCACTCTTCATCTCCTTCCAGTTGAAGATTGGCAGGTCTGACACAAACCTGTTGTTAGGTTTCTATTGGTTTAATTTGAAGTAGGTTAGGAACATATGTGGCAAATCAGCCAATCCAAACCAGAGTTATAGCTCAGTTTAACTTACGATACTTCCAATTTACTCCTTTCAGAATAAAAGCATTTCTTTGATTGAGTTTGGATTTTTATAAATACTGTTTTAAATTAGTCAAACAACAAATAGCTAATGGTTTCTGTGCCATAATTTAAAAGTAGTACATGTTTGTATCTGTTAGCTCAACAGTAAAACAGGCTCCTCTCTCTCATCGTACCTTTGTTGTGGCAGGAGTTGGGAGTAAAAATATATGTTTCCTAACTCACAGCTAGGGCGTTCATGGTCATTTCATAAATACTAGTACTATGGAAAATGAATTTAGATAAAACATGGTGCTCACAGCTAACCAAAAAGTTAAGTTCACTAAGCACTAATCAGCAAAACAAGAATCTTAGCTCTGCTAACGTTAAACCACTAAACAGATTAAAAATTAGTGGAAGCTAACGCTAACCGATAAGATAACTTTTACTCAGTCTGTCACGTCTTCGTCTCCTTCCAGTTGAAGACTGGCGGGTCTGACACAAACCTGTTATTAATTACTTTCAGTTTAGCCCTTTCAGAATAAAAGCATTTCTTTGATTCATATCGTATTTTTATAAATACCATTTGAAGTAAGTCAGACAAAAAACTAACAAATACTTTCTCCACCATAGTTTATATGTAGTTAGTTTTTGTATTTGTTGTTTAAATATTGTTACAAATTGTTTTATTTATTTTTGACACTCTTAGTTTGAGGTATAAATGTTAAAAAATTTACATGCTACACATGGTGCCTGGCACATCCAGCACTGCTGATGAGAGGGGAGAGTTTTTATTTAATCCAGGATAAATGGCATTAAAATAGAAGTTTAACACTTGTGAATTTTTTTTTGGCGGACCTAAAATTAACAGAAGCTAATCGTTCCGCTAACAGTTTCCAACGGTAGCAAAAAAGCTAATCTGCTAAATGAGAATGTAGTTCTGCTACTAATAGATTAGAAGAACTGTGCCCACCGCTGCTTAACTGTTGAAAAACATGCGTTTGTCACTAATACATCTGAGAGCAGCAAGTATTGGATTATATGAATCTAAAATAACCGAAGAAATCACTTTGGATTAGTCAGCAGGTACTAGTTTCTGTCTGTAGTTTTTCTGAGGGATTTAGACCAGAACYTCTTTAAAAATTATATACTGTATATTTTTATCATAGTAGAATCAGTGTAGCCTGTGATAAAAATGTGTGTATTATACCATAGATATTTGTGTGTAAAATTCATCATTTTTAAATCTTGTAAAATTATTTGTTCCAGTGATTTTTTGTGTCTTTCTTCCAGCCACAGCCTGATGCAGATGTGCTGGCAGTACAATCCTAAGATGCGCCCAACGTTCCTGGAGATCGTGGAGATGCTGCGGGACGACCTGCACCCATCCTTCCAGGAGGTCTCCTTCTTCTACAGCGAAGAGAACAAAGTCCCCGAGACGGAGGACTTCGACCTGGACCTGGACAACATGGAGAGCATCCCTCTGGACCCTTCCTCTTACTCCCAGAGAGAGGAGAGCTTAGGCAGGGACAGCGGGCCCTCGGTGGCCCTGAGGGGGAACTACGAGGAGCACGTTCCCTACACGCACATGAACGGTGGCAAGAAAAATGGGAGGATCTTATCGTTGCCCAGATCCAGTCCTTCCTAACATTTCCTGTTAAATGACTCGTTTCTCTCCTTTTTTCTCTCTTCCAGTCCAGTCGTTCTCCTGTCGCCTTCATGTTTTAATGATTGTTGTTCTCAGAGAAAGAAAAAAAAGACACAAATCTCAGGATTTTTAATTTTCTTCCTCGTGGCTGCCCGGACACTGGCTAGCAAGGGATGCAAAAGCTTTTTTTTTTTTTTGAACTTGCTTTACGACACATCAGACTTTATATGATCAGAATCTGTTCTGACAGGCGGCCATGTTTCCTGGACTTCTTGTGATGGGGAAACAAAAAGAAAACACAAACTGTGAACACAACAGACTCTAAAGCCAACCAAAAAGGCTGCTCAGACTCATCTCCTCCTTCCTCTTCCACCAATCTGCATTTCCACATTTCACYATTTCTCTTCCCCCACCCCCCTTTTTTTTCTCTAAAATGTTTTTATTCAGATAGTGGCCTTTTTATCCGTGGCCTATCGCTCAAACTTGTTCCTTTTCTACTCAGATCAGTGGGATGATGAAAGGACTCACTCTTTGATTTGGTTCTGCAGAATTCCAAACTACCCACAGAATCATCTGGTATTTGATAAACAGATTTAATTTATTGGCTTTATTTCCACCCCCCTTCCTTTTGTTTATTATTTCTGTCTTCACTATGTGGCTGAAGGATATTTAAAGGTATAAATTGGACAAAAAGAGTTCGTCAGACTGACCAATAGCTGCTGCTTTGATATATTTTTAGTAGAAATACATAAATTTATATAATATAAATAGTATATATGAAATATTGGTGCTTCACAACCAATATTTCATATATAATATACTGTATGACGTTGATGTTTTTGTAAATACTGTTGTTCATATTTGTAATATTTTTCATTAGAGGCTTTATTGGTGTTTTATTTGATCAAGTTTTGTTTTTATTTTGTAGCCCCAGGAATCACACTAATCTGGCGTCTCTAAGTCTCAGACCTCCAGCTTCCCTTTAGTTCCTCGCTGCATCTGGATCAGAAAGAAACCTCTTTAAACTCTCGTTGTTTTCAGTTTATTCACACTCACAGTACTTGGAGGCAACGTCCCTGCTGCAAGAACGGAAAAACGAAAGAAAATCAGTGATTCAAAGCAAGCTAAGAGCCTTTTTCAGGTTGTAGTTTTTAATCTGCTGTTTTTCTCTGGTCAGATTGTGATGGAATCGATGTATTTGTGATCTCGCAGGCTAGTTGCTGTCTGGAAACAAATAGTTTGTGTCAGTGGCAGTGGAAGGAGTTAATCCTGTTTTTCTCTCTGCGGCGGTCAGAACACAGCGTGCAGCAGCTGTCAGGTTTAGTCAGAACCCTGTGGTGTTTGTAGCTTTTAACACACCTCAATGCTTTTTCTTATCTGTGGATGCTGAAGGTTTGTAATGCACAAAGGTCTGTGAATGTTCTTAATGTGGTTGTGTTCTTTGAGCGCCACGAGTTCATATTTGTTCAGAAAACACCTGATTTGGCAAATCATGAATCAGCAACAATTTAACTTAGTTTCTTTCTTTGTCTCTCGTACGTATGGAGACCATCTGGTGACATTAGATAAAAAWTGATGATAATGCGTGGCCAGAGGTGGGCACAGCTGACCAACAAGTTAGGTTCACTAAGCACTTTACAGCTGCACAAGAATCTTAGCTCTGCTAACGCTAAACAGATCATAACATTAGTGGGAGCTAATGCTAACTGCTAAGACAGCTGCCCCTCAGCCTGTGTCACGTGACACCAAAGGCGTAACTTTAGGTCTATCATTGGGGAGATTATGCTCCAAAACCCTGCATGTCATGTTCAGCAATTATGCTTAAACGTACAAATATGACATCGTAAATTTTTAAATCAGGCAAATTACATGTGTCTATTTAACCAGTTCATTTCTATTGTGTTTGAGCAAATGATGACATTTTATTGGTGTGGGGMMGMGGGGGGGGGTGTTGATTGGATTAAATGATTGTGGGGGTCATACCCCCCCTGCAAATTATGTCAATGCGTAACACGTTCTGTACTACTTGTAAGAGGGGCTGGTTTTAATGTAATTTGAGATAAAATAACATAAAAATAGAAGTGAACACAGAACTTGTGAATTTTAATGGACTCAAAATTAGCAGAACCTAATTTAGCAGAAGCTAGTTGGTCCACTAACTGTTTCTAAAGTTAGCAAGAGAGCTAATCCACTAAATGAGAAGCTAGTTCCGCTGTTAGTGAATTAGCAGGAGTGTGCCCACCACTGTATACACAGAATGTGTGTGTGTGTAAATATACACATATGTGTGTGTAGAAAAAAAACACCGTAATCATATAATCTGATTTCCACAATGTCTGTGTTTCTCAAAGACTTTTTCTTATTTCAGTTACAAAATCATCTCGTGGCCACGCATTTTTTTTTTTTTTCACTGTCACTGGACCGGCTCCTGACATTTGGACAGTGAGGTTGCCAATCTAAATGAATATTTCCAGGAAAGCCAAAGTGTTTTCAACAAACGGACTAAAGTCAGAAATAAAGTGTTACCTGCGCCTTTTCAGACCTGACATAAGGTACAGGAGCTGGCCTCAGTGTCGGCCTGCTTTGATTTTATTACATCTCAGAAGAACTGAAGGCTTCAGATCGTCGCCAAAAGCTTTTGTTTTTGTTGTTGCAGCTGCTTGTCGTCAGGTTTAGACACTCAGTTGATTTAACAGATTTAAATAAAATCTCAAGCATAGATGAAGTGTCTCTGGTCTGAGTCTGCCTTCCTGATTTGTGGCTTAGTTCTCACAAATATGCAACTTTTTAAATCAAGTRGTCTTCGGTGTATTTATTTCATTAAAGGTTATTGTTCTGTGGTGGAGCGAGGGTGAAGTTGTAAAGTGTGAAGAGGTGGAGTTTGATTCTCCAGGTATAGTAATCCATGGCGAACAGCAGGGAGCGCTCTTTTATTAGTAGTTAAATAGTGATTGTCTGTTTTTTGTTGTTGTTGTTTGTTTGGCCAGAGTCTACCTCAGTGCAAAAGGAGGAAGCCGTTTAAAGAGCTTCAATCGTTGCCTCCTTTACAGCAGAAAAAAATTCCCTCCCGCTGTGAGGCGTTAAATCCCCTATTCCCCTTTTTATTTCTTCTTCTTGTGTCACTGGGAAGCTCTGAAAGAACTCTACGAAATCCAAACTGTTTAAAATTCAATTCAAGATCATTTTGATGTTTATTTTTGGTGTTAAATCATTCTCTCGCTCTCTCAGCTGTAGCACTTTAAAAACAAAACACACCAAACCATCAGGAAGTGAATTGGCTTCATGAGCAGTTTATTTTGCTCCCCCCTGTCTTTAACCGTCCGAGCTGCGACCCTGCAGCGATTGGACGCGCTCGTCTGTACGCAGCCAAAGCTATTGAAGCTCAGTCAGTCATGGACCTCTTTTTTTTTTTCTATAAATCCCACAAATCAAAAGCTCCTCAAAGTTTGTTTCTCTGTTCTGTTGATTGTGTTTTTGTGTATTTTATTTTATTTTATTTTTTCTACTGTGAATATTGAAAAGATGACATTTATTTTCTGTCAACGCCGTGGATTGGGGGTCTGTTGATCAGGACACGCGTGGGCTGGTTAGAAAAAGAAAAGGTTTTGCTAAAGGACTGGGACAATCCTGTGTGCCATAAGAACTTTTAAATCTAGATTGTAACGTTTCGTCTCAGGGAGGCGGCCTGATGCTTTGTGTTTTGAGGATGAGGAGGAAGAAGAGCGACTTTTGATCCACTCTGACTGAAGTGCAACTTTTCATTAGAAAAAAAATCTCTTTTTGAAGATAATCAGGAATCCTCTTCTGTGTGGCTCAGATCGTGGTTCTGACTGCCCTCTAGTGGCCGGATGGGAGCGTTGCAGGTCAGGGGCAAAGCAAACAGGACCCCCTCCCCTACACTCTCTCTCTCTCTCTCTCTCTCTCTCTCTCTCTCTCTNCGCTCTCAACCATCCATCTACCTCACTTTCTTTTTCCAGTTTATTTAATTGTATTTAAAAAGAAAAAAAACACTAAAAAAAATAAAATGTCATCTCGTTTGTCCGGCTGTAACGACAATGTCACTGGGGTGCTGTTTCACTGTGGTCAAATTCAAACCACAAACCAAACCATCTTAGAAGAGGGGCATCATGGGTAAAAGGGGCTCAGGAGCTTTATGCAGAAGACTGAATCAAACATCTACATTTCTGTTTTAGACCTCAGTTTATCTCATGAACATGCTGAAAGAAAAGCTTTCACTTATTAGCTCAGTTTAATTTTCAACAAATCCGCTTTTTACAAAGCCTTTTCGGCCACTTTGTGCTGCTTCAGAAGATTATAAACGGGATTAAGGTGTTTCACCGAACAAGATTTCAGATTCAGCTCATCTTTTTCTTTATAAACTCCTCTTCATTTGTTGGTGAACACAAACCGTGTTCTTTGGTTATTTATAAATGCATAAGTAACCAAAGATTTCTGTTACTTTTGAGCATTTTCATGCACCTTGTGCT